CTGCATGCTTGCTTTCAGCGACTGGTGTATAAGGACACCCAGGTCTCACTGCACCTCCCCCTTTCCCAATCCATCACCATTCAGATCATAATCTGCCTTCCTGATCCCACCTCACATTTATCCACATTATACTGTATCTGCCATGTATTTACCCAGTCACTCAGCCTGTCCAAATCACACAGATATCTCTGCATCCTCCTCACAGCTCACCCTCCCACCCAGCCTTGTGCTATCTGCAAACTTGGAGATATTACATTTAGTTCCCACATCTACATCATTAATATATATTGTGAATAGCTGGGGCCTAAGTCCTGATCCCTGCGGTACCCCACTAGTCACTGCCTGCCTCTCAGAAAAAGACCCATTTGAGTTCTGAGGAAGGGTCACCGGACCCGAACATTAACTCTGATTTTTTCTTCACAGATGCTGCCAGACCTGCTGAGCTTTTCCAGCAACTTTGTTTGTGTTCCATTTATTCCTACTCTTTGTTTCTGGTCTGCCAACCAGTTTCTATCCATTTCAATACGCCCCCAATCCCACATGCTTTAATCTCACACATTAATATCCTTGTCAAAAGTTTTCTGAAAGTGCAAATAAACCACATCCACTGGCTTCCCCTCACTAACTCTAACTCTCTCACTAACACTAACTCACTAACTCTGCTCGTTACTCCTGTGAGATTTATCAAGGATGATTTCCCTTTTGTAAATCCATTGTTATGGACTGGACCAGACCAGACCAGACTAGACGCCCTCAAAATATTTGAAGAAGGTAGCCTAGGCCCCAACTTTTTCTTATTTTAAAGACAAATGTAAAATGCCTGTTCCAGGTGCAATGCGACTGGTCAAACTACTTGACATTAAGCGAAACACAATTTACTTACACACTGTGGTCAAAGTACAACTATGGAAAGAGGAATTTAAAATAACTTTATTAGAAACTTAACAGAATAATAGTAACTATAACTAATTAGTTGTTCCAATATAGTAACATCCCATAAACACACCCCTTAGCAAAAAAGGTAAATTTAGACACAGATTCTCACATGCAGTTCTCCAATCCAGGAGGAAAAAATATCAAGAGAAAATTCGAGAGTGTAGCAGCCAGGAGACATTCACTGAAGCTTCCAACTCTGAGACCCCGACAGCTTCTGATGCTACTGAAAAAACCAAAACCCAGAAATCCTAATCTGAGAGAGCTGGCCCTGACTATTCAGGCTGTTTGAAAAAGCCTAAGGCCTCCCAAGCTGTTTACTCAAGTCATCTTCAGCAGCTCTGCCTTACAACGTCTCTTCAAAAAAAACCCCAGGATAAAATAACCTGTTAAAGTGACAACATTGTCACACCACGCTGACTCTGTCCAATCCTGGCTGCCCTTTTCCAAATGCTCAGCTATTAATTCTTTTAGAATGGACTCTGACATTTTCATTCAATCATAGAATGGGAGGCAATGGCCTAGTGAGATAATCACTGGACTGTTAATCCAGAGACCCAGATAATGTTCTGGGGACCCAGGTTCAAATCCCGCCATGGTAGGTGGAGGAATTTGAATTCAATAAAAATATCTGGAATTAAGAGTCTAATGATGACCGTGAATCCATTGCTGATTGTTGGAAATACCCATCTGGTTCACTAATGTCCTTTAGGGAAGGAAACTGCCATCCTTACCTGGTCTGGCCTACATGTGACTCCAGACCCACAGCAATGTGGTTGACTCTGAACTGCCCTTTGGGCAATTAGGGATGGGCAATAAATGCTGCCTGGCCAGCGACACCCTCATCCCGTGAATGAATGACAAAAATAGAATCTTTATAGTGCAGATAGAGGCCATTCAACCCATTGAGTCTGTGCTGACCCTGTGAAGAGCATCCCAGCAGACCACACCCTATCCCTAACACCCTGCATTTCCCATGGCTAACCCATCTATCCTGGACCGTACGGGTAATTTCCCATGGCCAATCCACCCTAACCTGCACATCTTTGGACTGTGGGAGCAAACCGGAGCACCCTGAGGAAACACACGCAGACACAGGGAGAATGTGCAAACTCCACACAGACAGTCGGCCGAGGGTGGGATTGAACCCGGGTCCCTGGTGCTGTGAGGGAGCAGGACTAACCACTGAGCCATCCCCACTAGTGATGCCAGACTCACGGCTCTACATTCCCTGTTTGTCTCTACCTGCTTTTTTCAATAATGAGGTTACGTTAGCCACCCTGCAAACTGTAGGATCTATTCCAGAGTCTAATGAATCCTGTAAGATGACACCAATGCATCCCACTGTTTCTAAACCACTTCCTGAAGTGCTCTGGGATGTAGATTATTGGGCCCTGGGCATTTATTGTCCTTTAGTCCTGTCAATTTCCCCAACACTGTTTCTCTACTTCAGTTCCTCTCTCTCTCACTAAACCCCGTGTTCCCCAACATTTCTGGGATGTTATTTATATCCTCCTTTCTGAAGTTAGAAGAAGAATATAAATTTAGCTCATCTGCCATTTCTTAATTCCCTTTTCTGATGTAAAGGAGCTACATACATCTTCACCAATAGCCCTCATATATCTCTAGAAGTTTGTTTACAGTCAGTCTGTATGACCCCCCCGTCATCTTTTAATAGCCCCTAGTTTTTGTGCGATTGGTGAGCCAGGACATGGACTGTGACTGAATGTTGTCACTTTGAATTGGAGTAAAAATCCCTCTGGGTCTAATCTTTCTGGAACATTCTCTCCTGTAGGAAATATGCTCCAACCCACAATTTCTCATCGAAGGAGCCACTCGCACAGACATCTGTCAAGGAGCCCTGGGTAAGTACAGGAGACACGAAGCTCTGGGTCTCTCCCCACCCTGCTCAATGCACTTTCCTGACAGGACAACAGAAGAGACAAGAGATACCCAGCAGCAACACCAGGTTAATCTGTTAGCTGCAGGGATTCTCGGTCCTCACTATCACTCACTCTCACTCTCAATCTCCTCAATTCAAGCACTTCGTTCAGGGCACACTCCCCACGAACAACGCCCTAACCCCACCCCCCAGGGCCATCTCAGAAACTACAGTCCCAAAGGCACAACTAACACACTAAATGGGGAAAAAAACACAGAAAAACATCTCAAAAAGTGAAAATGTATTTCAGTTTAGATATTACACCACTCCCTCAGCACTGCCCCTCCAACAGCGCAGTGCTCCCTCAGCACTGACCTTCTGACAGTGCGGCGCTCCCTCAGCACTGACCCTCCGACAGTGCGGCGCTCCCCCGGCGCTGACCCTCCGACAGAACGAGCACTGGATCTAACAGCATGCCATCCCTGACCTGGGACCGTATAATGGAGATGGTGTTGAGCGGGTTATGCTCCACTGTGTGCAGTGTGTAACTGGGCGAATATCTTCCTGATGGTGGGCCTTGTGTGGATGGGAGAGTTCCATAGAATCCCTATAGTGTGGGAACTGGCCATTTGGCCCAGGAGTCCATTCTAGCCCTCTGAACAGTATCCCACTCAGACCATCTCCATCAGCCTACCCTTTCTCTGTAACCCTTCATTTCCCCATGTCTAACGCACCTAGCCTACGGATCTCTGAACACTATGGGCAATTTAGCATGGACAATGCAAAGAGCCTACACATTATTGAACTGTGCAAACTCCACACAGACAGTCACCTGAGGCTGGAATCGAACCGGAGTCCCTGATGTTGTGAGGTAGCAGTGCTAACCACTGAGCCACCGTGCCACCTTTCAGCCTGATCTGCAGATCAAGTGGTTCAGTCTGATCCATTCGAGAGAGAGAGAGACGGTGCTTCAGTCTGATCCATTCGAGAGAGAGAGAGACGGTGCTTCAGTCTGATCCATCAGAGAGAGAGAGAGAGACGGTGCTTCAGTCTGTTCCATTAGAGAGAGAGAGACGGTGCTTCAGTCTGATCCATTAGAGAGAGAGAGAGAGAGACGGTGCTTCAGTCTGTTCCATTAGAGAGAGAGA